CATATAGATATAATTTGTATCAAATAGATACATCTACTAGATTATTATATTTCTCAAATTTTAAATTATAAGCATAATTTTTTTATTATATTATGTCAATATCATTGAGATGACGATAAATGATTTAGCACAATAGATTGTTAAGTGTTTTTAATTAATTTCTTAACAATTACCCCTTGAAAACAATGTACTTCCCTTTTATGCATAGGAAATGTTATTTATATGCAATAATAATTATATGCATCATGTCAACATCAAAGTTCTCTCTGTTATAATTGATTTATGATAAAAAATTAATATTTTACATCTAATGGTTTTTATAGTGCACGCTATGTCCAATTTGATTAAACTATTTTCTCAACATTAGGGAGAGAATTTAGTAGCAGGAATATTAATAATAATGCATCATATCGTATTATCTACAATATGAAAAGATAACTCAATTTCAAGATGCACTTGTAGACCTATAAGAAATTAATAAAATTTCATATACCAATTATAGATGTTTCATTACGTATTAATGTTTTAGAAGGACAAACTATTACATAATATAAATAGCATGCCTTAAGCGTTATGACATTCAATTCTATAGATAGAAATGATCCAAAAAGAGAAGCAAATAAAGAAGATGGTCCTATTAAGAAGGCAAAATATATAGACATAAATAATGAGGTCATGTACTTGTTGAAACTGTAGATATATCAATAAGTTATATCATTATGAGAGAGAAATAAAATCGAAAAAAAGTTATTGACAGCACTTTTGTATATGATATACCGTTTTATATTTTTAATAACGAGAATGTTAACATAAATTCGTCTAGTCATATCAATCAAATAAATGATTGGCTAAATAAAAGGATGCAATCCTGATAGAATCAAACTTATTGGACAAACCAAAAAGTTTTAGACCTTCCAACCATCTAAATGTATATATTTATGCAAAAAGAAAAATAAGAAAGTCGTAATATATAATTTATGACTCTAAGCCCCTGTATGTCATTCATTTTCTCCCATTCTTCCCTATTATTTCTCATTTTCAACCACATATTCTTCATTACAATAACATTACACGTAAATAAAAAAAAACATTTCCTTCTTTTTTAATCACATATTTCAACATCAATCACTATTCCATAATACATTCTTCCCAAATAATGGGTGACAAACACACCCTAAATATAACGAATTTCACAAGACTCGTATAAATAGATAAATTATTTTTTGGTCACAAGTATATATTGTGTTATCCAGACTAATATATAATTTAATATGCATATAATAAATGTGGTTATAACCAATTGATACAATCATTGAAGGTTTTAATTTTTTTGTCTCTTTGAATTTTCCTAAAAAATTATCAACATGGCAACTTTTATAGTGTATTCCAAGGAATAATGTAATATTTTTCCTTCACTAAGATTTTTTCACAAAGTTTTTCCTGTATGATTGTAATGCGTTATAGTGTATTTTAATGCATTATATTCTTTTATAGTGTATTTCAAGACATTTACTCTCAAAATAATATTCTTATATATTACAAATTTGTGTACGACACTCTCAAATAGAGCAACAACAAAATCTTTTCCAAGGACCATGTTGACTAAAAAATAAATGTGTTTGTACTGTTTAAGGCTGTAATAGAAACATGAACTATTTCACCAAAATTATGATATTGAAGTCATTGACATACAAGACATAGATGGTTCGATACAAGGACTTCTATTAATTGAAATAAGAGGAAGCTGTTTCTTTTTGAATTTTCTTGACAAGGTTTTAACGAGAAAATATTTTATTGCTCTAAATTATTTTTACTCTTCTTTTTCTTTGTTTGGTATTTTGGTCCCATCAAATTTTTGTCAACAAAAGTTTTAATGAGACTTTTATTGTGTAAATAATCATTTAATAAGGAGTTTTGTAAAAAATAAAAAAATGTGAATGATTATTGTACCCTTACAACACGAACTCTAACATATATTTTGGGACCTCGATGCTCAGGAAATGCATAATATCATTTAAGACTTTTAAGATCCAGTGAATATATTAAATAATAACTAATTAAATATGTAAAAATTTATATTACATATTTCAACTTATAATTTCTATTCTCTCAATTCAACTCTGGCTCAAAATGCATCTTCATTCCTTTGCTTTTTCACTATACAAAACTCCATTTCATCCTTAATTATTTGCAATATCAAAAATCTCCAGAGATGTCAATCTAATTTGACCTACAAAATATGATTATATGAACACTAAAAGAAATTATAATCCCCCTAAAATAAGTTAGGTACTGATAGAGAGAGCAGCACATATTATAATCTATTTATGAGGTCGGAGCAGCCCCTCCTCTTAGAATATTCTAATATTTTAGTGCATTAACTATGTAATATTCAATAAAATTTTAGAGTAAATATGAACAAAAAAAATTAGTTTTTGTTATTCAATCCTTTTTATCAAACATATTTAAATATAAAGTCCAAAACTAATATTTTTGTTAAATAAATGTCATATTCAATGACATTTTCCTATACACTTTATATTTTATTATTATTATTATTATTATTATTATTATTATTATTATTATTATTATTATTATTATTCTGAATTTGGAGATCTATTGATTTTGATATTTATTTCTTTGTGAATAATGTTACACATAACACACAGATTAAACCAAAAGTCAGTCGAAAGATTTGATCGTGATGTATTGCTTCTTGCATCGTCAATAATTCAATACTTTTAGGTAATCTAATTATACAATTTAAATATATTGTATATTATTTATTCCCTTTAAATGAAGTCACTTTTATAGTTGTCTATTTTGTACTATAGAAAAAAATATAAATATAAATCAACTTTAAACTCAATAACATCCTCATGTCATGTACAATTATAATTAACAATATAAACTAAGTTGACTTTTACGACTTACAATACAATTTCTCAAAAAATAGAGATTGACTATAGGATTCATCGGTTAACCACCACCCCAACTCCTATAAATTGACCTCAGGATTCTTCATACAATAATTCATTAGTCGGTGGTTTAGTATAAAAATAAGAGTAATGCTATGTAGCCTCAATTTAGATGACATTAGATGATAGATTAAATGAAAGGCAAAATTAACTGAGTTATTTAATTCCATCTATCAATTAATGTCACACTAGCCTCACCTAGATTGAGGTTACAATCCCAGTGAGGCTAAATAGCGTTATTCTAAAAATAATGTTATTGACATCACTAAACCCTCGTTTAGTACACATTAATGTAAAAATGAGAATGAAAAATATAGTCGTTACGGGCTCCATACAAGAGATAAAAAATCAAATATGATAGCTTGATAGATAACAGTCATATTTTTCATTTTAATGGGCAAATAACGAGAATCAAACGGGGGGCTAATATTGAACATCAATCTAGGTGTCATCATATCATATGTCCTAATAAATGGGTCATAAATCTTTGTATTTATTGAACCTGTAATTTAATACCACAAGTGCTATCACGTACCTAAATCGCTGTTGAACACTAATTGTGATAAATAGTATTATTTTCAATATAAATGCCCGAAATCTAATGATCATAATGACAAATGCATTATTTTGAAAACACAAATTTGTTCAATCAATTTTATACTAAACAAATGAAAGAAAATGATTAATTCTTTTAGAAGAGAACACACTATGCATATAGCCAAAATAATGCAACAAAGATCTTTGACCTACTGTTTGATATAGTTTCATTTTATTTATTTATTTATTTTTTCAAGATTTTAAACAGGTCAAACTTTATTTTAGAGTAAACATTTTATTCGATTCGCAATTTTCATTTATTTTAACCACACGCTTCGTGGAATCACTAACTTATAATCCGAAAAATCTTTGTCAAGCAATATAGAATCTTTTATTTGCTTCCTTAAATGTCGATGGATCGTATAGTTTGTACTTAATAGGAATTTGGTCTTCCTTTTTCATTCCTATACAAAATCATCACTTTCTATACGTGAATTATAAGAGTTGTAAGAGTTCAATTTTAATTTTGAAGATCCACTTATTTCTCATTGAATGGAATATAATATCATCGTGGCAATCACATAACCATAGAAGCTATACATAAGAAATTCAACACTTTAAATAGGACTCCTTTGTTGCTTCCCACCTTCCAAAAAAATCAGAAAAGACAGAAATATAAAATGAAACAGAATCCAAGAACTTACAACACGTTGATGATCAAATTGAGTGCCCCAATTTGAAAATTTGAAATATCAATTATTTTCTTATTTGAAAAAGGTAATTCCACATTTTTCCCCCATAATTCCAATATACAAATTTCATAATTTCATTAATTATGTGACCATCAAAGGTTCTTGACCCTCAAGTATATAAAAAAAAATTAAGTAGCCGAATTAAATAAATAAATAAGTAAATAACAGAGTGAACTAAGGAATGTCAATATAGAATCTGAATTAAATTGTTTGAAAATATGGTAAAGGGTAGGCCTAGACCATTTCTCAAACTTGTCGATTGGACTGGCTTGTGTACTTCTAAACATTGTTGAATGGTCTAACTAGTCGGATTTTTGTTTTTTGTTTCTAAACATAAAATATAAGTATGAATCGCCCGTCGAAAAATAGCTAAGTAAGATTGTATAGCACACAGATTTGTCTCATGGTTTGCCAAGACTAGATTGTTTCGTCATGCACGACGCCTTTATTATGACCTAACCAACCTTGAACAAGTTCGTGTTGTGTACAATTTTCTAACATGACAAATCTAATTTTATGTTATACTCGGACAGAAAAAAGGTGAAAATTTAAACTAGTCGACCGTAGTAGGGTTAAGCCAAATTAGTTTTATTTGAGATTTTAAAAGGGTGAGATTTTATTTTAACACCAATAAGTGATTATTTTACTTATAATAGCAGGTTCTAACCTTGCTTTACGAAATCTTTAAATATCAAATATTAATTTCTTTAATAAAATCTTAAAAGCAGACAGATAGTAGAGTATGTGGGCTGCTACGCTAACTGCTCATGTTTTTTTAATCAATGGCGAGAGCACAAAAACACACATAAATAATCGCAGGCACTTTCGAAAATTTACTGATTTGCTTCGGCCTCAATTGCCTAATTCATTAATTCAAGCACTTATTTACCCATTTATTTGTCTTATATCCATATATGGTATCAAGAACTCAAGTTTGAATATACTAAAACAGTTTTGATTTTTTAATATTTTATATAAGTTGAGATTGAATGGAGAACAATACAAGATTCAAGAGGATCTGTGTTTTCTGTGGAAGCCACGCGGGTCACAGGAAAGTTTTCGCTGATGCTGCTATTGAGTTGGGCAATGAATTGGTGGGTTCTTATGAGTCAATCTTTCATTGAATTTTTGTCTTGGTTTAACTGAATTTTTCTTCTCCCAAGTTTTGATGTCAAAACATTGACTTCTGGGTTGTTTCGCTTATGGAATTCTCGTGTTTTGACTTTGGGTGTCAAATGGTTTTAGCTTCTCTATTTTGTTGAAAATTCATGTTTATAGAATTCTTTATTATTATTGGTTTGTGGTTTTGGACTTTGTTGAGCCTAATCCATTAATTTTGTTGAGATTATGGCTTAACCACACAATCCCATGATTTTTTCTTGTCAAGATCAAGGAAGTTTTTAAAATTAATTTTCCTCGATTAGTGGGATTGACTTGATTATTAATTATTGTGCTAATATTTTCATGCTTTGTGAATGTTGATGACAGGTTAATAGGAAGATAGACTTGGTGTATGGGGGAGGAAGTGTTGGGTTAATGGGGTTAATTTCTCAAAGAGTCTATGATGGTGGCTGCAATGTTCTTGGGTATGTAAGCTTTATTCGGGTTAAAAATGATGGAACTGATGTAGTTTTTTTCATTTTGGTCATCGAGCTTTCACTTTTCTTTTTCTGGTTTTGGCACTCTTGTCAAATTTATTCATAGGACTTAGCTGGTTTATTGCTTTATAATGCAGAATCATTCCAAAAGCTCTTGTTCCTATTGAGGTATTTCTACAAAATTTTGGAACCTTATCTCGTTGTTCAAGAATATTTGAGCTGCAATATTCCATTAGTTAATTTCATTTCGCCATATTCACTATTTTGTAGATGAAATCAGGTCCTAATTGTTAATGTCTTTCGGTACTAGAGGACAGCTAATAATCATGTTCTTTTGAAATTTTCTCGACATATTTCGCTTTGCAATTGAAAATTAAATTGAACTTTCATGGTTATGCATACTGTTGAAACCATTTAATACTAGTTCTCAGTTATGGAATTTGCATATGGGCTGCTATGAAATTAGTTTAACTCAGATGAGTTACCATTGATGAGCAGATATCGGGTGAAACCGTTGGAGACGTAAGAATAGTTTCCGACATGCATGAACGCAAAGCTGAAATGGCTAGGGAGGCAGAGGCCTTTATTGCTCTTCCAGGTAAAGTATAAGGAATGAAAGCAAATTTATCCTCGAAGTTAAGTTTTCCTCCATTAACTTACAGATCGGCATTTCTGTGCCCTAAATTTCTTAGGAGGATATGGAACCATGGAAGAGTTGTTGGAAATGATAACATGGGCACAACTCGGAATTCATAAAAAGCCGGTGATGTATCTCATTGTATCCTATTGATTTAGAATAATGTTATCTTATACCAGACTAGAACACCAGTCCAGTTGGTCAAATTTGATAGATTTAGTTCAATGAATTATGTAACATTGCATTTAAGTGATCTGTCATTTAATGTCATACAATTGTCACCTACACTAATGTTTGACCCCATTGATGCTGATTAGCATTGCTCGTTGGTTTAGGTGAAGTCGATTATTTTCTAATGCTACTGGTAATTCTCCGCACAGGTTGGTTTGCTCAATATTGAAGGGTACTATAACTCTTTGCTCACATTATTTGATAAAGGTGTTGAAGAAGGTTTCATCAAGCCTGGAGCTAGGGACATAGTACTTTCGGCCCCTACAGCTAATGAGCTTTTAAGAAAAATGGAGGTACTCAGTGCTGTCCCAACTTCATTTGATTTCTTGTCAAATTATAACAATCTTGGCTCATTACTTTCCAGGCTTGATTGTGTACGAGAAACAAGTAGTTTGTCATGTCGATTTAACGGATTGTACGCATTAAGTTAATTCAGACATTCATTGCTGTAATTTTGTCACGTGAGCTTTCTTGATGGTCAACCAAGTGTTTCTTAAAGAGTGATAGAAATTACTTTTCACTTTCTAAATCAATGATATCAAATCAAATATAGATTGAAAATGCTGAACATCAAAGTTAAGTATTTAGTGACAGTCAAATTAGAGGTTTGTCGGTAGTGGATGAACAGGAAACGAAGAGGTGAAAAGTAAATGTGAAAATCATATCCGAGGTTTGGATTGGAAGGAAAATCAGAACTGAATGATAGTTCCTTTAACTCCAGTTTACTATACCATATTCTACCAACAAGTGGAATGAAAGTAGCTTTTGAACGACGAAGCAGGGAAAGTTATGAGTAGACTGTCCAATCCTATTCTTAACTTAGCTATCATTCTTGAGATCAGAAAATTTACCCTGGTAAAATTATAGTAGTGATAATGATAACTAGGATAGAAGACAAAAAATCTCGCTCCTTGTCGGGGTTTGATATTTTTTACAGTAGACGTGTACTCAATAGGCTTTTCTCTTTTCCCCTACTATTTAGACGGGAAGTCACCAAGGCGCACACTCTTTCTGTATTTCTTTGGTTATATTTGATCTTATTTCAGTGGCGATTTACTGTAAAGAAACTGATCTGTGTCGTTTACTTTTCAGCAATATACTTCTTATCACGACCATGTCGCCCCACATGGAAACTGGCAGATGGAGAAACTTGGTGATTACCCGAAGGAATGGAAGTCGTAATGAAATTATTGCTTGTGCTGTGATTTGTTTGTGGGACAAGAGATGGAGCCTCATATAATTCATTACTATGTACCCTTTTTCACTCTATGTCGTTTGAATTTTAGCAGCAAATGTCATTCTTGTTTTGCATGATGCCTCCGTTATAATAGAATGGTCAAGCACAGCACTATTTTGTAGTCATTTTAGCTATTCACACTTGATATTTGAAATTGCTCAGTTCTTTTAAAAAGTTTTTTCTCCTTTAGAGACTCATATGAATGTCCCATAATGAAATTTAGCCTCAGTTTGACCTATACTTTTTTAAAATTCATTTTCAACTACAGATTTTATAATATTCACAATTTTTTATCAATTTTTCAATCACGCATTTTTGTTAAGTTGTGCAATCTAATTATTCACTCTGTGGAACTGGTCGAGGATGGACTTCCACAATGAGGTAGCCATGGGGACGGCAGGGGGTGGGAGGCTCCCTTCACCAGGGGGTGGAGGAGTCGAAAGTCCTTGGACCAAAATTTTATTAAGAAATTTGTATTCTTATAAAATTTTATTATGGAATTGAAGTTTTTGTAAAATTCAATTTTACCTTAATTTATTTTATAAATTGGAAACCGTCCTGAAATTTTTTTATTATCATCAAAAAGAGAAAAAAGAGGTTAGAGAAGATAAGAGTGCAATTTCTCTAGTAAACATTTTTTTCATCATAATGAATTACTACAGTAACGAAAGAGGATTTAAATATCTTAAGTGCTTGTTTTTCTTTCTTTGAATTAATTGCTCTCGTTGAAATAGAATTAGAGTTTATAATTTTCAACAATTTCATCAACTTTTAATTAAATCTATTAAAAATTTGATTTTTAAAATCTAACAAAGGCTTAGTATATATGTTGACTATAGCATGTACTATAAAAAGGTTTTAATTGACTCAATTGTTTGTCACTAACATGCTGATTCATAATGGAGTTTCTTCTTTCCTTTGTCTTGAGAAAGATTTAAGATGTCATTTTCTTCGCCCCGTTAGAATTTAGAAATGCCTTCGCGAACGAATGAATATAGGACATATATTTGAATATTTGCTAAGGTTAACCGGGCACTTGTGATAAAGACACACACACACACATATTAGTTTTAGTTTCGAGAAAATTAATGCTTTGGAAAATAATTCCTTTCATTTGTTATGAGATGCAACCCCATATGCATCTCTCGAGGGATTAAGTACTCGAGGGGGGACAAATTGACTAGGGCACTTGGCTCTTATAGAACTGCCTGATTTGATTGAAAATTCCAATTGGAAAATGTCAAGATAAGGTTGGAGTGGGTGTTTGGCTTTGGCTGAAGACATAAATAGGGCCCCTTACCTCAAGTACAAATGGAGACATTGGGCATCATGTGATCTTATCTTTTTGGTGTCATTCTTACTCCACTTGGAGACGAGTAAAAAAAATTCATCAAATCATAAAATCGAATCGGAAAAAGCTACTTTAAAACGGTGGGTTTGGATCTGTTCGAATTTGTCAACGAGTCAAAAACTATTTGAAATCGAATAGAATCGTTAGATTAAAAAAATATCAATAATAAAACCAAATCATGGGAATATTGTGCCAATTAATATCAAGTGAAAGGCTAAAATTGAGCTGTTTCTAATGTTATTTATTGACTTCGAGTATCCCTAAGGCATTTGTGGATAATATTGGCATTAATTTTGTTACTTATCTTAATAAAAGGAAAATAAGTCAAAAATTGTTTAAATCAAAGTAAGATATTGCAGTAATTCTATAAATGGTATTCTCATATGAATTGGCAAATTATATTAGTCATAAAAGGCAGCTTTTACTTTTCCTAAGTTTAAGATCTGACAGACTTTTCTACCGACTCATGAAATTTAGCCCTCGTTAGACTCAAATTTTTTAAAAGCTCATTTTTTTCATAAATTCATTTCTAATTCACGTTCTTCTAATAAAATAATTTTATACGTAAATTTAAGTTTTTTTTGTTACTTTTTAATCACACTTTTTCCCAAAAAAGGGAAAATTGCAACGAAAGTCCCAAACCTTTAATTTTGTTGCAGAATATGCTAGTGAAGAAGATTGTAAGTGCTTGAAAAAAAAAAAAAGTTTGCAAATATATCTTAACCTTTCATTTTTGCAGTTGTGGTCCCAAACCATTTATTTCAATGGCAGCAGCCAGCAAGAATCCATTAGAAAAATTCCGTTAGTCAACATTAAAATTTGAATTTTGACTAAAATTGACAAAACAATTATATTTTCCATAATAAAACAATTAAATATTAAAAAAAATCAACTTCATTTTCTCTATCCCCTCATCCCTTCCCCAACTCGCCCCACCCCAAAATGAAAAACAAGCAGACCCAGTCAGTGTCGCACCGCCTAACCATCGTCGTCACTACTGCACTGTCCACCATCGCCACTTCAATACAGGTCTCCAATAACTTACTAATCAAATGAGTCCTAAATTTTTCAGTCTCCTAAACCTATAACATCATGTTAATTACCAAACGAATTAAGAAAATTCTCATTCAATTCAAATAAACCCATAAATACCCTTCTTCCGAACAAGTGAGTGTAATGAGTAAAGTTCAACCTGGGAATGAATTCACTCAAAATTAGTACCAATTTAATAATCACAGCTTAAGGAGCTAAGATCTTAGCCTAATTGCTGAATTAAGAATGAAATTTAGAATGGATGGAAACCGTATTCCCTTTACAAAAATGAAATAAGCAAAATAACACTTAAAATGCTAGTTGTGGACCCCATTTCTGAAAGCTAGTTACGATTTGTTCTTTTCCTTCCTTCCCCCAATCATTCCATCGAGTTGCTATTGCCTCATCATGACAACCTCCCTCTTTAAATGAACCTTGTCCCCAAGGTTTTAAATTAGAGTATTTCTTCTGTATGTCACCTGAATCTTCCAAAGTTGCCTATTCTCTGCTCTGTCCCTTCCATTTGACTAGCCACTGAGCTCCGACACGATTTTCCTTTTTTTATGTTCTGATTTGAAGCACTTCCTCTAGTTGTTCTACGTCTTTCTCTCCAGCTGATAATTGTTCTACAACCACTTCTTTGCTTTATATCTTTTGTTTAATAAATGATACATGAAACATCGGGTGAATTTTTGCTTCGCAGGGAAGTGTTAGGCGATATGCTACATTTCCAATCTTCTTTTCAATCTAATAAGGGTTATAGTACCTAGGATTGAGCTTTTGATTAATCCTCTTAGCAAGGGTTTTTCGTTGATATGGATATAACTTTAAATAAGCTCAGTCACCTAGCATGAGCAATTCCCTGCGTGTAAGGAATTGTTCTACAAGGTCTTTATAGACCCTCACATGTGATTGGGCCCCATGTGATTTTTTTTTCTTTAAATGAACCAACCACCCCACCTCTTATGTCTTACCATTACTGAATCTATGAACCACCCATTGTACACGTAGCGTGGCTCTACCTAACACTTGGCCATTTAAAGTTACATCCATACCAGCAGTATGTATGTATGTTTACATCCAATATCTCTAAAGCGGTAGCGGATGCAGACATTTTGAATTGGTGAATCACAATCAAATTTGTAAAAAATACAAATTTATGTTTATCTCAAACATCACTAAGTTTGTCATCCTTTATTTATTTATTTATTTATTTATTTTTATCTTGAATAATCTTTTCATTAACATTGTGATCATCAAAAGAAAAAGCATATTTACGTTTAAATTATTTTTCATCACAATTAATGAAAACAATCAATTCAAGTGGAAAATACAAAAATCGCAAATTCTGAATGTTACACTATCAACTGCATTCTAGTTCAAACAAAGACAAAATCATAGCTAGAATCCATTACCATAAAATCGCCAAAACAAGATAGAATTTGGAGCACTTGAGAGAATCCCCAATTCCATTTCATAAGAAAATATAAAAGAAATAGTTTCCTAAGGCTTCAAATCTAATTTCGAAGGAAACCACCTAAAAAAAATGATAATAAAAAAATCAATTTTAAGTTGGTAGGTCAAGTGATCCACCAGGACCCACTGTGGGTCCACCAGTGCTTTACAGTTACATTCAATATCTTTAAATGAAGAAACTAGTAAGGGTCTGTCGGGCATATTTAAAGTTACATCCAATATGTTACACGCTTGGCCAATATCCAATAATGAATTAATAAATATCAACAATCAAAATCAAAGGCTTGACCCAAAAACAACTTGGGCCATTAGAAGCAACTTTAATTAATTAATGTTGCTCATGGCCCCTATACATCTTGAACGACCTTTTTAATATGTTGGCCCATTTATCTTTGTGTTGGCCTATGTGTTGGATACTCTTAGCCCATATTGTAGTAACTTAAACTAGCCTATATATCTACCATTCTTTGCCCAAAACGATGCGTGTGCTTTGGCCCCGTTTTGAGAGAGAATTGGTGATTGCTTCCTCTTGCCTTTGCCTATGTTGTTTTCACTTTGCCTTCATGGCTTGCAATCCACTACCATACTAGTGTTCCTTGTGGATATTAGAAGTGGCAACTTAAGTTATAGAACGACATTGTGGGTCGAAGCTTTTGATTGATTGTTTGATATCAGTTGGTATGTTTAAATTGAGCTTGAACTCCACAAATTGAAGATCAATTCTACTACAACCATGTTAAGTAATAAATCCAACAATGATTAATAATGAATATAGACCAATATATAAATGTTTATACTACTTGTCTTAATATGGTCAACCTTTAAAATGAAATTTCAAGTCTTGATATAATATCAAAGTTCATTAAACACAAACGATCAACTTGATCCGATTAACGCTCAAACGAGCATATAAATTTCAAAATTAATATGCTCAAACAAGACGTTATCTTGCGGATCATATTAAGAAATAAATTCCACATTAGATACTAAAATATGGACCAACATATAAGAATTTATTCTAGTTCTCTAAAGAATATTGACATTTTATGATAGAACTCCAAATCTTAATAGGCAATCTATGCACAACAAATCCATTTTCCAGGTAGTTGCAACTTGCCAAGAAATTTTAATAACTAGATGCCAAGATGATGGATATAAAAAGTAGTGTAGCCTCTAATATACTTCTAATTTTGTCTAATGTTATGCATAAAACATGCATTGAGGACACAGCTACATCAACTGATTACTACCTATTCCTTATAGCAGTAAATTTGGTGGGCTTTTTCCTTTATTCTAAACAACCTGTCACCAATCAGCTACCCCCAGGTACGAGAGAGAAGTAAAGAATAACAATGAGACTCGACATCGACGAGACAAAAGGAAGATTTCAGCACGATAAAAAAACCAACTGCATGAATTTCAGGAGTCAAAGCAGCAGAATTTGAAGCTTAAACTCCACATACATTCATTCGATTCATTCTGATAATGACACTCCAGACAGTTTCAATACCTTAAATCAACCGAACTTCCTAGAAACCTTGTTTCCAAGTGTGTAAAAAGTTCTCTAAGCCAGATAGAACAAATTTAAGAAACATACGAAGGTCCATCGTGCTAAAAGATATGACCTTCCTTGTAACAAAAAGAAAAGTAACTCAACATCTCCATTTGACGAATACAGGTATAAAAGTTGAGTGCAGACAACTAAGTAAACAAAAACATACACTTTCCTTTCGGTAGATCAATAACATATATATACAATAATTAGTATTTTACCACCGGTCTAAAAGCTTAAAACATGCCCTTCACTTGCAGTTAAGAGTCCTCAATATTCATAAATGTGTAGCTTCGCGACTTGATCCCATGACCTTTGCATACTTCAATACCATATTTATACACTTATAAGTCCTTCCCAAAAATTGGTAGTATTTATTTTTAGTAGTCTTCTAGATGCCTAAATCAAATTATCGAATAAGATGCTATGTAATTTCCCGACAAAGGAGCAGTACAAATTACTATCAAGATGACAACATGAAGCGAGTCAATACAAGGAAAAGGCTGCATGGTATGTTCAATAAAGGCATTATACCGAAATCTTGAATTAACATTTCAAATGCTGCAGGGCACAGATGATGCGAAAATGATACAAGCACTGCCACTTAGGCTGCATATAATGGAACTAGTGTCTGACGACCAAACGACTTATATTATGATATATATCATAAGCCATATAAGAATGCCAAAAACAAAATAATAATAATAATAAAATATACTCTTCGATTCCTTTAACAAGCTACAAGTACTGCACAATCATCACTGGGGTACAAACCTAATTCATTTCACAGATGCTGAATGCCCCTTTTATTTCAGTAATTGCTAATTTGTAAAAGCACGGTGCGAGGTTAAAAAGTTCTTCTACTCCAAAAACTTATCAGCTGGCTTAGAGGAATATGGAAATAAAAACTCCAACAATCAATAATCCTCCAAAAATAGAAGACCGTAGAAAATATCACTTCTAAGTGAAGGCGATGTGAGATAATGTCAAATTATATTGCCCTTGTTTGGGCTCCATTAAAATTAGTTTTAGGAAAAATGTATTTGGGAATAGTGAGTCTTTGGAGAATGTGTTGTTCAAAAAGAAGGAAAAGTTTTGAGTTTACATGTAATATTATTTCGTTCAAGAATGTGTGATTGAAAAGAAGAAAGAGAAAAATGCATTAAAATTACTAAATTAGAATGGAACCCAAATAGAGGCAATGATTTAAGCTTTTACCAAAATCAACAACTTTGATAAAAACCACACTTTAATGTTTGATCTTTCAACATTCATGCATTCTCTTTGCTCCAAGGGACTACACCTGTAAGGCATATTTAAAGGCAAGGCAGATAAGAGACTTTCAAGTATGCTTACTGAAGTGTTCAAAAGACAGATTTGGGATTCAATGAAGTGCCAGGTGCACTATTGATTGGTTTGCTGTCAAGAGTACTAAAGTCAAAAACATAATTGATCAATAGGAAGCTCAGAATATATAGACAGAGTTCATGCCACGATGAGCTAACAAACAGAAGGCCAGTTCTAGTCATGCATTCCTTTTGAGCAAGAATAAGAAGGGAAGCTAGAGCCTCAGAAATTCAAGATCTATAGTCACAGACCCGGAGATTTGTTAAGATCTTTTCTTTATTTCCTTTCTTGATTGAGTAAAGAATATGAAGTCAAAGAACTTAATATTTAAACCGTTCTCCCACAAAACAAAATGTAAAAAGATAGTAGTGCTGTTAAAGACTGGTTTAGCCAATATCATTTACTTGCACAAACATATATCGAACATATAAGTTTTGGACCTAACAATTTCCAGAATATAAACCAAAACCATACTCCAAAGAGAACTATCAAAATTTATCAGTCAAGCACATTTCTTTCACACCCCTTGAAACTACAACAAGAATGCTTATTTTACACTATATTATCATTCTCTTATCCTTCCTGCTCTACACTTATTTATGCATATTTCTCCAGAATAATGTCAAATGAAACTTATAACAATAACAACATCTTAGGATAAAAAAATCTCAAGAATGATGTTTTCTAGATCACCATTGAGAAGTTCCTGGTGTCATGATTATGAGTAGGGTTACATCTTAATTGATTATTTTCATATATAATCTAAGTGGGATATTACCCTTAACAGTGAACCACATACCTAGAAACAACCCGGTGGAAGAAAAGGGCACTGTGATTAATTATACAAAACAGACAAAAATCGCTTGCATAAAAAAAAATCCTATTTCACAAATTTTAAGTTAAAAAGCCCATAACACATAACCCTGTTTCGTATTCCAGCACAAATATAAGGACGACAAAATGAAAGCAAATTATGCAGCAAAATCACCACCAGCCATAGACCACCTGGAAGTACCTATTCTTAAGCCACCTGAAACTGTTCCTCAAAGATCCTTTGACTTTACCCTCAACAGTGTAGACTTTGTAGCTAGCCACCCTCTTCTTCCTCTGGAACTCAGGATCATTGAAAGTCCAAGATTTTGAAGTTGACCCGCTTGTGCTTTTGCCTTTCTTGAGCTTCCAGTCCTTCGGCGGTGGCGGACCTAGAACCGTCGGCGGCACAGTTGGCCCCAGAGGAGACGGCGGCGCTACATAATAGTAAGAAGAAGAAGCATATGGAGTACTGTATGACCTGATATCATTAGGCCTGGCAGAGGGGCGTCCATAATACGGGACTATCTGCATTCTGTTATCATTATTGGACTTTGATCTGTAATCCTCCATAGGTTTCTTGAAAATTTCTCTTGTTGGGGTGGAGAAAGTTTGCAGCTTGACTTCAAATTTTTTGGTATCAAAGTTGTATCGTGTATAGATGTCAAACCAAACTAAACTATCACGCAAATAAAAAAATTCAATGGGGGATATTATTTGATTTTGAAATTCCTCTTTGTTGGTGGGATTGGATTCTTGGTGCCGTTTAATATGGGAAATCAACTTGAGACAGCACAATTTGTTCTGAATATTTCAAATATTTTTATCTTTGTTCAGACTTGCAAACAACTCCTTGGATGCAAGAAAAGTAAGCATCATTTGGCAAATTTATTATAGTGAGAAAAGGATGGTTGAAAGGTCAAATGAGACGGAGGTATCTTTTAGCGAGTGAGTATAGGTTATTTATAAATTTGAGTAGTTTGTACGTTTGGGCGTGCTATATCATGTTGAGCTACATGAGCCTTGTTGTTTAATTATTATTATTATTTCTTATTAAAAAGGAAACAAAACTTATAATTTTGTGATAGTTATTTATTTTTTATTTTTTAAATAAGTGATTGAAAATGAAGGAAAAATATTAGATTTACATGTAATATTATCTTATTAAAGTACGTATGATTGGGAAAAAAAAAGAGAGAAAAAAATGTATTATCAAACTAATGGAACTCAACTAAGGATTAGTGTAGAGGTAGAAATATGGAGAATATGAATAAGTATTTAAAGTACAAAATTCTCAAAGAAAACGTCAATAGAATCTTTACAAATATTAAACTTTTAGAGATTGATGGAGCATTCAATCAAAAAAGATGAATATATATATACACACACACACAATTCAAGATTCATGGTGCAAGCAACATTTTTTGAAATGACTTATTCGCATCAATAATTCAATAATTCCATGGATGATATATTTGTTAAAGTTACTTTTTAAATTTAGACAATTACGTCGAAGTAAGAAAAGTAAATGGCGTGAGATTGTTAATTATTCCTCATAATATTCCTTTTCTAGGGCTTAAGTCAAAATATCACAAAAGATTGAAACAAACCTTTTACATCTAAATAGAAATTACGGAGTTCTTTGAATAAATCCATATATATATATTTCAAGTTTGATTACATACTCGACACAAGTATAATATTTTAATATTTTAGTGATCATCATCCTTCTTCATGTCCTAATTTTTTTGTTCTTCTTCTTTTGAGCACATGTATAACACGATATTCGTTATTAAAGTTTGCTTATAGAGTCAATTCTTCAATAATTAAACCATTCTATATTATATATGGTCCATTTTAATTGACAATTTCACTTTCATCAAGTTTGGCGTGGACATTTTTCTCCGATAACCATAGTATTCATAAAGGATGCCCTCATAGCATCCTTTAAGATTCGCCTCCTTGATTTGAGGTCTACGTACATAATTGCAACTATTCAAGGTAAGTATTGAATAATTATATTGTACTCCATAATAATACATAAGATTTTTAATCCAATATTATCGAGAAGATATATCAACATTCTCAATTACGCATATGAACTGACTCCACAAAAGCTAGAAGTGAAATAATTTAAAAGGGGATATTTTCTTCCTTTGTATTGAAAGTTTAAAGCATGATTCGTATAGAGTACTAAACATGACATGATCATGCATTTTCTTTCCCAAGATTGCACAAGATAATAAGGTTATTGAATATGACCGAGCTGGGGAACATAATGTTCATATAGAGGATGATTGAACACACATACCTTGAGAGTTGGACATTATTTAATTCAATTGAGACCTGTGCACTTTGTAAGGATCGATCACTCTGAATGTTAAACATTTTCAGACAAAATGACATTTTCCTATTGAATATCTTGGTAAATATAACTATGTTCAAATAAGGTAAAGGAAAAGTTCTCAATATTATCTTTTTTCACGCGGACTGCTAAACATGGACATAGTTGTTAAAGTTTCACAAACTAATCATTTCAAGAAAATGAAAAGAAAATAACGTTGTTCCACATATAATGAACATTTTGAGCACCCGTGGGAGTGCATGTCTTATTCATAGGTTGATAAATGTACAATATTTTCTTAAATGTAATGCATGCCAGTTCGTTTGACATAATTTTTACTTTTGCTTTCTATAAAAGAATTTTTAGATGAAATTACTTTAACTTTTATTTAAAAATTAATTTTTTAGAACAACTTCATATTTCAAAAAATATTTTAAAGAACGCTATATTGGATCAACTTCACCTAAAAGCTCTTTTAACTAAAAAAAAAACTATCATAAAACCTACCAACCATTCTTTTACTTTTCAAAAATCACGTCAAATGGATCCTTAATATTATCTATGATGTTTATGTCGTTGGGTAAACCGTCACTTGAAACTATAACACAACTTTTGGGTTCATTAAAGGGGTTATCATACATATTTTAATTTGAAATTCATTCACTCTTTGTCAATGATGCAGACGTTAATGATTAACAAATTCTTGGTTTAAATAAACAAAAATGTAGAGAAAATTAACGGCTACATCATATTTCCGTCTGCAAACAAAATAAAACTCATTGTTTATTTCTCTTTTTAGTGACAAATTTCACAATTTCTTTAATTGACCGTGGGTGTCCGAACCTGCACATATCGATTAATCCCACGAGACCCTAAAATTTACAGCTGAGTACTCTCACCTCAATAGCCCTAAAAGAGTGAAATATTACAATTAGAAGTTGAGAAAACTTTTAACGAACCAACACACTAAAAACAAGCACATAATTTTATGCTTAGTATACACCTATAACCAAAACAGAATTAAACTTCAAGCCTTGATAAAGAGTCGAACGTCCAAATTTGTAGTTATTTTGGACAATTACAATACAAAAAAACACAGTAAAAGTTAGTAAGCGCAACCAAATTGGGAAATAGAAAAGTCCACCTTGCAAATCATGGGAGTGATGGGAATTTGCATCCCCCAATAGCAAGTCCATCATACGTTTTAAGTAACCTAAGAAATAAGATAATAAATTACTTAAAATAAAGTGCGTAAAACCTCGATGCATCAAAATCGCTTTAGAGAAGATCAGCAACATTAGCCGGCAGCTCCTCAACTATAACGTTATAGAACTTCTGTATGTCAAAAAGCATGCGTTCATCATCTTTGGTAACAAAGTTGATAGCAACACCCTTCCTTCCAAATCGTCCACTACGTCCAATACGATGGAGGTAATTCTCCGGCTGAGTCGGCAAATCGTAGTTGATCACAAGAGACACTTGTTGGACATCAATACCACGGGCCAACAGATCAGTGGTGATAAGAACACGTGAAGAACCAGATCTGAATTCACGCATAATGATATCTCTGGTGTTCTGGTCCATGTCTCCATGGGTGGCAGAGACGGTATGATCACGGCTTCGCATTTTGTCGGTGAGCCAATCAACCTTACGCCTGGTGTTGACAAAGATGACACTCTGTGTGATTGCCAAGGTCTCGTAAAGATCACAGAGCGTTTCGAGCTTCCATTCCTCCTTTTCAACATTAACATGGAATTGCTTGATACCCTCGAGGGTCAGCTCATCACGTTTCACAAGAATTCGCACAGGCTTGTTCATAAACTTTCTTGTGATTTCAAGAGCCTCTGGAGGCATTGTGGCAGAGAATACACCAACTTGAATCTTAGGTGGCAGAAGCTGAAAAATATCATATATCTGAAAAGAACAGAACCCTGAATTAGAAACCTCATAATGCATTTGACAGCACAAAGTTAATATCATATATCTGGTAAGCTGCAGCTAAAAATATTATTCAGAGAACAGCAAACACATGAAAAATCAAATAAACAAAACTAAAAACAACTTAGGTGGACTTTCTGTTAAATGCCTATATTAAGCAAACAGCAAACAATGCCCCCGTTTGGCCTCCATTAATTTCCATTTCATTACATTCCATTTTTTTCTATCCTATTTTTAATCACACAATCTTCCATAAAATAATATTACACGTAAATCGAAAATTTTTTCCTTCCTTTTCAACCACATTTTTCAAAAAAACACTATTCACCCCATTTTCATTTTCAAAAAATGGGGGCCAAACGGGGGCAATATGAGCTTTAAACGTGTGTAGAAGTAATGAAAACAAGCTGAAAGAAATACAACCAAAAAAATAATAATAATAAAAGCAAAAAAAAAAAAGGAAACAAACCTGATCCTTGAACCCTCTTGAAAGCATTTCATCTGCTTCATCCAGCACAAACATTTTAATGTAATCAGGGCGAAGAGATTGCCTTCGCAACATGTCAAACACACGACCAGGGGTGCCAACCACGACATGAACCCCGCTGGAAAGAATACGCTGATCTTCACGAACACTGGTTCCTCCCACGCAAGCATGAACCTTCACACCAAGATAATCACCTAGTGCCCGCATGACCTTTTCAATTTGCTGTGCAAGCTCACGGGTTGGTGCAAGAACCAAAGCCTGACATTCAACAGTTCCATAATCCAGCTGCTGGAGAATCCCAGAGCAAAAGGTGGCAGTTTTGCCAGTTCCAGATTGTGCCTGTTGAATTACATCAAGTCCTTTGCAGAACGGTACAATCCCCCTTTGCTGAATTGCAGAGGGCTTCTCAAAACCTTAAGTATAATACAAAAAAACCTTAAGCTGCATTAATTTCCGAATAGAAAGAATAAAAGGAAAACAAAATTAGCAAAGCACAAGATTGAAAAGAAATAGAATCCAACAGTTGCATGTGTTTACATTCATAAATCATCAAATTAAGTAGACATATGAAAAAATAGGCAAATCAACTTAATTGTTTGAAGATAAAGATGTAAAAGACAAAGAATTCCGAAACACTTAGTAAAGTAGACATGACATAGAAAATTAACTCGATAGACACATTCTCAAATTAGAAAATATTTTCTTATTCTAGATCTTGGGAAGAAGAGAAAATAAATATTGTGCAGAAAAATATGCAACATGACATAAAACAACTGTCCCAATCTACCATAAGCATAGATGCCCCTCAGAAGATTTTCTTGTAAGCCCATAGAATCAAAGCTTTCATACACCTCATCATAACTTGTGAAAAATTCCTCGCCGCCATCACTTCCAAGTCTGCAACCATTAATTCAGAAAACCAAGCAAGTGTACTATGATCACCATCACGATTGAAAAATGGAATAAATAAATTCTATGGTGAAGAGTACACTAATAAATAAATCAAACCGTGTTTCCCAAGCCTGATAAGCTTGACAGTAGAAAAAAACTTACAACTCATTCATCTTGGTGTCAAATTGTCTAGCATCGAATTGAGAACCTTCAGGTGCGATTCCAGCCATGACTGCTGAAAGTGAACGA